TGCTATTAGTGGATTAACATTTACTAGTGAAAACTATACGGTGGCTGTTGATATACTAAAAAAAACCGTTTCGGCAGAGATGACCTGCTAATTAATGCGCATATGAATAATTGTTGAGTTTAGAACCTGTAAAATATTCCGGAAATACGGCTTCTTTGAGGAAGCTTTATGACGATATAGAAATACAAATAAGGAATTTAAATTCTTTAAATGTTACTAGTGGTTCTTATGGACATTTATTATCCCCTATTTTGTTAAAGTTAATACCCGAGAATTTAACTCTAGAATTCACTAGGAAAAGAAGTGATAAAAAAAATTTCGATGTTAATGAACTACTAACGTTCTTGAAAACTGAAGTGGAATGTAGGGAAACATCAATGATGTTAGCGCGTTCTAAGAATTTTGATGTAAATGAAACATCAATACGAAACAAAAGTTCCTATCAATGTTATCAAAATAAATCTTACATGCATTCTAAAAGAAATGATTACGGTACGAATAAGCAAGGTGCTTCCGTATTAACTAGTCAAAGCGAAACTTCCTCTAAACACTTTCAAAAATCACATTTTAATCCAAATCGAAAGTTCTCTACCCCGCCTAAGAAAGAGAATCAAAATGTCTGCATATTTTGTTTATCTGCTTGTCATATAAATCATGATTGCGCACTTGATTTAAAGGCTCGCCGAAAGGCATTAATGGATCGAGGTTTATGTTTTATTTGCTTTTTGAAAGGACATCCAAGGCGTTTCTGTGCTCATAAAGATGAAAAATGCAGACTGTGCAATGTCCAAGGTTTACATAATTCGTTAATATGTGACGCCGCATCGAAAGATTTAGAGACGGATACTTCCAATCAGACAAAACAAACGCCAATCTTGAACCTTCTCTTTCGCTCTTATGTAATGAAAATAATAACAAAATTAAACCACCGACTTCCGTTCTTTTACAGACGTTTTCGGCAACAGTTAGGTGTAAAAGGGGGAACGAAAAGGTATTACGTTGTATGCTAGATTCAGGGTCAACAAAGTCATTCATCTTACGAGAAGTGGTTGATTCACTGGGGTTGAAAATTATTAATAAAGAAGCGCTTATTATTTTCACATTTGGATGCAAAGATGCAAAAGAGCGCTTGTATGATATCGTAGAAATCGTACTTGCAAAATGTAAACCATCCCAATAAAAAGATAAAAATTAACGCAATAGTCATTGATTCTATAACACTAGGGCAAGTAAAAGTTCCTTCTCGGTGGATACGAAAGATGGCGTTTGAGAAGGGAATAGAATTAGCAGATGCTGGTACGAGTGACGAAATTCAAGTATTAATAGGTTCGGATTATATTTGGGAAATTTTAGGAGAACGAAACGTGAAGATTTGTAAAAAATTAGTCGCAACAGAAAGCACTTTCGGTTTTGTGATTCAAGGCAAGGACGAAGGATCAAAGTGTAAGGACGCAAGAGTTAATCATATAACCTGTTGTAAATGAGGACTTAGATTATGAAAGAGTTAAAAAATTATATGGGAATTAGAAGCAATTGGGATAAGTTCGGATAAAGAAATATCTCTATCAGATAAAGAAATTTTAGAGTCATTTGAACGAAATACAACTTACAAGAATAAAAGGTATGAAACTCGATTATTGTGGAAAGAGGGTGTTGAAGGTTTAAATAACAATTATGAAATCGCGAAACAGCGTTTACAATTTTTAAATAATAAGTTTCAGAAAAATAGCGAGCTATATTTAAAATATAATGAGATAATTAATGAACACTTGAGAGATGGTATAGTGGAACGGTTAGATACGTATTTAAATAGTAGTTTGAAAACGGGGTATTACATGCCTCATCACGCGGTAGTGCGCGAGCAGAAGGATTCTACAAAGGTTCGAATAGTTTTTGACGCTTCTTCTAAAAGTAAGGGAAATTTATCACTTAATGATTGTTTGGAAAGCGGACCTAATTTAAATCCTGATTTGCTAAAGATTATCATTAAATTCAGGGTACATTCAATTGCGTTTTGTGCCGACATTCAGCGTGCATTTTTAGAGGTAGGCTTAGCTAAAGAAGATAGGGATTTTTTAAAGTTTTTGTGGATAAATGAAAGAAGGGTCAAATCTCGATCACAGTAATCCCAACTTACAAGTTCTCCAAGACAATCGAGTCGCTTTCGGAGTCAAGTGCTCACCTTATTTATTAACAACTACAATAAGACTGCATTTAAAAAAGTATGATGATGCCTACGAAGAGGCATGCAATATGTTAAAAGAGCTTTACGTAGATGATTTAATTTCTGGGACAGTAAATGTAGCAAGGGCCTTACATTTAAGCAGGAACATGATTTTCATTCTTAGCGAGGACAGCATGAATTTACGTAGATGGGTTTCAAACTCACCTGAACAATGGAAACTTAATGGAGTTGACTGTCGTGAGACATCTGAAGACTCTTTGATACCGTTGAAAGTTTTAGGTCTTATCTGGGACAATGTCAATGATAATTTGAAAATAGATGTATCTCAGTTTGAGAAGTTACAAAATCTTAAAGTAACTAAACGCATCATTTTAGCAGCATGTGGTATGCTGTTTGATCCCTTAGGAATTATGAATCCATTTACTGTTCGAATTAAACTCTTAATGCAAACTATGTGGGAAAAGGGTATTCAATGGGACGAAAGTGTTCCCCTTGATACAGAATTCATATTTCAGGAATGGTTAAAAGAAGTTGAAAAAATAAAGTTTTTCGAAATTCCCAGACAGTACTTCAGTGATATGTGTTGGAAGTTTATAGAAGTTCACATATTTTCTGATGCCAGTCCCAAGTGTTATGTTGCCGTAGCATATTTTAGATTTAAGAAGAAAAATAAATGTAAAACAAGTTTCATAGTGTCGAAATCCCGTTTGGCTCCATTAAAAAGGGTAACACTCCCTAGGCTTGAACTTTTGGGAACATTAATTTCTGCAAAATTAGGTTCGTATTTGCAATCGATATTTCCGCAGTTGGATAAGGGAAATATATTTTACTGGACTGATTCCCAAATTTGCATTCACTGGATCAAGGGATCTGCCAACGAGTGGAAACAATTTGTTAGAAATCGTGTGGTAGAAATCAAGGAGAAAACAAATTTTAAACAACTGGTACTTTTGCAGTGGGAAGACAAACCCTGCTGATAAACTTACGAGGGGCATGGATGCTGAAGCTCTAATTAATGATAGTGATTGGTTTTCTGGGCCACCCTGGCTTTCAGAAGTAGATATTCGACATCACATAAACGAAATGAATACCGAAGCTGACTTGCAAAACGTTAGTGAAGAACGAAAATGTGTTACTTTGAAAACACTTGTGGAGTCTACAGAACCGTTACTAAATCTTGAACTGCACGGAAATTTAACCAAAGTACTGGGAATAATGGCTTATGTTCTGCGCTTCGTGAACAACTGTAAATCCGCTCGTGAAAAGCAATCTGGTATTCTTACCGCCTATGAGTTACGGAAGGCTTCAGAATTTCAAAGTGGTTAGCAAATGAAAACATAAGGTGAATATTCAACCCGCCAGCTGCTTTTATTATTATTTTCATTTCTTATTGTACTAATAATTTTATTTGTTTGTTCTAGTTTAACCCTCATAGTTAACGTTTCAATATAATAAGATATAAGATGTTTTGCTAGAAGATTGGTAAGTGTAATATGTAATTTTATACTTTTTGAAGGTTTTTGTATGTTTTCAGTTTCTATATTTTTCATTTACTTGTTTGCATATATTGAAGATTGTATTAAGATGAATGTAATTCATCGGGGGGGGGGAGGATGTTTTGGCCTCCTCGGTGATTGCGGTGATTTGTGCCCAGAGGGCGCACCGCACAAAAAGTTAGTTGCGTTACAGAACGTAAGGGAAGCGGACACGCCAAAATGTCGGGCGTATTACCGCTAATTGAGGTAATTGCATCGTATCTGTCAGGTGGCAGAAAACTAATATGATGTATCAATTCACATGCCAGGTGGCAGAATATGTCTATCATGTACATGCCAGGAGGCATAACGCTTGTAAACATGCCAGGTGGCATACGACTTGTAAATAAATTGTAAATAAATGTACAGTAAAATATCTTGGTGCAATAGATCAAGGAACAAGCATCAACAACCTTCTGATCATTTGGATACGTACAGACTTGAAAATATTTCCTGCGCATAATGCTACTAAGATGTGATTTGTAAGTATCGATCAAGTTAAAATTAAAACTAAACAGGCAAAAGAAAAACAAATAAGAAAAATAAACAATATAATATTAATTGAGTAAATTAATGGTATTGCAAATTATAAATGGAGTTAACTGAAATTAAAAAAAAATTAAAATTAAAAATTAATAATGGAGTCAAAATAATATTTGCTACATCATAAAAATTAAAATGTAGTGGTATATATGACTGCAAAAATTGGAAAAAGCTATAGTGTTATCTTCAGACTCTTATAATTTGCTTATTTATAATTTGCAATACCATTAATTTGTTCAATTAATATTATATTGCTTGTTTATCTTTCTTACTTGTTTTTCTTTGCCCTGCTTATTTTAATTTTAACTTACTCGATATATATATGATAATAGCATTAGGAATTTTACGAAACTAATCAGAAATTTAAAGCAAAGCCGTGATAAATTAATAATATTCATATGTGGTCTGCTGTTTTAAATGTTTATTTTATTAGAATTTAAAGTAAATTAAATTATAATAAAATTTTGTCGTCATTTTTATTTTTAAAGCATATCTCTGCAATATAATATTTTTTCTATATTCTGTTTTGAAAATAAAGTTTTGAAGTTATATGTTAAAAAATATTTGATTTAATTTATTATGTGCAAGTATGAAATTTTTCTTTGATTAGATAATCAAAAACTGTTAATAATATAAACTGAAAATTAAAAAAAATTATAAATCTTTTAAGTTTTTTAGTTAATTTCTTAATGAAATTTCAAGTAGTCTGTGACACAGGCCATGATTCATATTTGCATTTGGAGCTCATTTCAGATAAAGATGCTTATCCCATCAAAATATAAAGGGCAAAGAAAACAATGCAATCAAGTTCTTAAAAATAAATTCAATGAAAATTTTACTCTACAAAATGCCTACGGGTTATCTTAGTTTTCTTTTATAAAGCTTATTAAGTCTGCCATTTAGTTTGTTTACACAATGATACTAAGATTCATTAAAATATGACTCATATGAAAAAAATAATGTAATTACTGAGAAAGATATAGATTGCTCTAAATGCTAATTACTTATATTTCAATATATATCATTCCAGCTAATTAATGACTGCGAAATCTCATGGAGACTACCTCTTGTAGGCGACCATTCCTCTCTGAAAATGATCATAAACACTGTACTAAATATCTCCCCCTAAAGGCAACTATCGCTTCAGAAGAGGAAAAAGGTCAGGAAACGTGAGTGTTCGTCTTATAGAAGTTTCGATGTGATGTGTTTTCAAAATTCAAATTTACTCAAATTTAATAATACCCTGTTTTACAAATGGTAGCAAGAAATTTTTATTAAAATGATTTTTTTAAAAAATTTATTATTGATGGAAGCAAAAAATATGTGAAAATAAGATAAGTGGAAAATGTTTTGCCGTTACAGATCAACTGGGAGAATGTATGAGAATATTAAAGATTTTTGTATTCATGTGTGAACATACTTTCTCTAATCATTTTAATCTGAAAATTACTCTGAAACAATCTTATAGAAAGAGAAACTGATTTATATTAAAATTATAACTGAAGAAGCAAACTACCTTAGAAATGCAAAGTGATTTATTTTTGTGATAGGCTCACATAAAATATATTTTCACTATTGCTCCCTAGATGGCAGCACCACATTTTCTGAGAAAAAATTCATGGCGTTACACATTTGAGTAACTATTAATTATTGGAAACACTATTATTTTTTACCTATTTTAAATTATACATATATATTTGCTTGACTTTTTTATACGTGTTTTTTTGACGAAAGAAATATATTCAGTTTTATTTCTAACTGATTCGTTACGTTTTAACTGTAAGCAATTGTACATGTTTCCAAATCGTAACAGCGCATTGGTAGACACAGGGAAAAATCAACGATTTCCAAAATTTCACAGTTGCAGATACCGATTCGGTAACATTTGCTGAAGTGACTACAAATTTTTTGTGGCTTAGTACTTTTTCACAACTTGTTTACAAAGTACGTGGGATCGATACATGGATATTTCTGGAAATTGTTCCTCTTTGAGTATCTTATATAAAAACGATGGCTAGCATTTGGAACATGATTACCCTCGTAATAAAGGAAATGTCTGGAAATTCTACTGTATGGCTGACACTGCATTGCGCTATATGACATGACATTTGTCTGTACTTTCACTGTAGTGTATGGCATGATATTTGTCTGCTTGTTAGGAACAATACAGAAAATCTTAAAAAACACAAGGTTCGCACGTCGTATGCAAACATCATTCAAGGTTCGCTGTATTGCTAAAAGTTTGCATCAGTACACTTAACATGATGAGAACTTTTGTAGGTGAGAACTTCTGAAGATCATACTGTACTGCAGTTGGCCGTTGTGCTGATTTAAGTGGAGATGAAGTGCGCCATACGTCATATTTTAAGTACATTACGACATTTTAATTCTAATATCAGTATTGAAACCAGAAGGTGTGTGCGGAATATTTTGAGGAATTTAGCATTTTTCAGGCATTTCACTCACTGCCAGTGTACAAGGCCTGTAGGCCACTACATTGGCAAATTTTACCATTTGAAATCATACTTGTGTTTATTTTATGATAATAAATGATAAAATAAATTAGTATATGCATATGATACACCTGATTGTTTTAAATAGCCCAAAGGAGCGGTAGTCCAAAAAGACTGTTAGCTTCGAAATGGCATTTTGCGTTGTTTTACTATGAATGTTCGTCTTACTTTTCAGATTGTTGCCACCAAACATTATCGTCCTGTATTATATTTAAAGAAATTAAATAATGAAGAATCTACATGAATGTATTTACTTTTCCCGCATTGTGAAATAACAATGGCACTTAGAATCATCAACTTTTGAATAGTATAGTGCTCCAGCCGAACTCAGGCACCGGGAAATCCGAATTTGGAATTTGTTTTATTCTTTCATGTTTTGTAAAACTTTAACTAATTTTTGATTAAAAAGCTGAACAGTTTCAAAGCGAGAAGTGGTAAGGAATAAAACACTTTTATCTTCAGGGCGTGAGACTTTCTATCGGAAATTGTAAGATATGCTGTTTTTAAATATTTTTAGTCCAGTGTGGCGTTAGCCTAAATACTCTCGAAATATGTACGTGTCTGTAAATAGAGGAGGGGGTGGGGGCGGAAATGCCTGTCTGGGCGTATTATAAAATCTGAAAGCTTTCAGACTTTTTTTTAAAAAAATTAATATTTGTAAATTACGCAGTGGGTCCGTTAATTTTCCCAGATCGCTCTAAATCTCTAGTAATATTTATGGTATATTTTTGAAACAAATTATATGTATTATATACACTACGAAATTTGAACTCACGTAATACAAAAGATAATAGCGTACATTCGCTGCTACTGTAAAATAGATGAAATCAGCTTCATTTGCCTTCAAAAAATATGACTGAGTTAAAAAAATGAACTGAGAAACAACTTTATTTGAAATAGCAAACCTAATTTATAATTATTAAATGGATGTATATGAGTGTTGAGAAGAAGAGGCACTAGGATTTAAGAACGCCAAAATTACCGATTATTTCAAGGTTAAGGAATAGTGCGGCAGGATATATATATATATATGGAGTTCACAAGATAAGAGGAGAATAACATTTATTCATCTTACAAAAAGATATCACAAAAGAAGGGAATTTTCTATAGACAAAGATAGGGGATGAATATACATGACTATGAAAAATCATCAGGTAGACTTTCTTATATCACAGAAGATATATTACAGATTTACGTTATAGAGACATGGGAAAGCGATCTAAAAGAAAAAAAAAAAAAAAAAAAAAAAAAAAAAAAGGTAAAGCTAGGTAGGCAAACGGACTAGAAAGATGTCCTGTTAAATACATGATATCATCTTCATTTACGTTAAAAAAATATTACTGAATTAAAAAACCAGATTTCAGGAACAACCTTGTTTTAAAATAGAATTTCAGTTTTGGTCTCAAATTTACAAATTTCGTTTGAAATTTGAATAATTCGTTTGAAATGAAAAGTTAATTTGTCACATGAATGCTAATTTTATAACAATTGAACGAATGCTAATTTACTAACGTGGATAATGTGAGAATGAATGTTGAGAAGAAGATTATTAGGATTTAAGGGCACTGAAGTGGCAGATTATTTTAGTGCAACACACAAAAAATAGAGATTTCAAAATTATTTTTGCAAAATAATTAGGATTATTTTAAAGCATAAAAATTACATACATCTACAGCAATAAAAAAAGTCATTTGGTCTCTAAAAGTTAATGTCCTTTAAACGAAACACAAACACAACGTATTTGAGTTTGGTTTATTTGATTATGGCAAAGCACTCGAGGGTTATCTGCCTATGGGGAGGGATGCCTTCGTGGAGGAATTTTTAATGGAACTCTCGTATACACGTTACACAAGAGGAAAACGACGAAAAGACCCATACATTCAGTCCGTTCGCCGGAATTGAAACAACTCAACACTGGTAGTCAGACCTAACTACCAGTGTTTAGCGACTTTACCTCTCGGCCGCTGGTGGGCCACAGTTTTTGTGTCTGTGCGAGGAAAGTATCTGAGGAATATTTAGTATCCCTTGGTTTTTCTTAGCTTTATGGTAATATTTTTTAGTTGTAGAAGGAAAGCGGCAACTGCTCACAACTGCAATTTATTTACGTTAATTAGTCCAAAGGGGCTTTTTCTTGAAGGACTATTGTTTTCGTTTTGCGATTTTGCGTTGAATCACTATAAATGCCCGTTTCACTTTTCAAACTGTTGCCACCAAATGTTAGTCCTGCATTATATTTGAAGAAATTAAAAATGAAAAATCTGCATAAATGTAGGTATATTTCTCGCACTACAATAACAACAACAAAACAACAAAAAAAAAAAAAAAAAAAAAAAATAACGGTGCATAGAGCCATCGAATTTTGAATGACGTAATCCTACTGCGAATATGGGCATGTGGAAGCTCAAATTTGAAATTTGGAATTCATTTTATGACCGATTTCATATTTTGTAAAACTTTAACGAATTTTTGAGTAACAAACTCAACGATTTGAAAGCGAACAATGGCAACAATCTACGGGGGGCGGGAACCTTTTTATCTTCAGCGCGCGGAACTGTGTATCGGAAATTCTAAAGATAGGCTCATTTTAAAATTATTTTGCGATATTGCTGTTGAACTGAATTTTATGGTTTAAGTGCGAAGAACATGATATTTAATAAATAAAAGTGACACTAACGCAAAACGTTAAAAAAAAAAAAAAAAAACGCCCCTTTGGACGTAACTTAAAATCTGAAACCTTTCAGATTTTTTTTTCTTGCTTTTATTGAGCACTTTGTTCTATGTTACTTTTTAGAAGGCCTACTGCTGATCAACCCGCGCGTCATCTCAGTCTATTTCATAGTGAAGTACAAGAAAGCAGTGCTTAAAGGAAGTGTTTCTACATTAAAATTTAGTCATGAGAGTGCTATACCCCTTCCTGTTATGCCTGAGATAAAAACCTATTTTTATGAGATATCGGTACTTAAAGTATTAATAATATGTCTGGATGGTAGCACTCATGATAAAAAGTGAATCTTTTAACTCTGATATATGGAAATATTGCTTTAAAAACATCTAGGCTAGTTGAATCAACACAATGAAATTGCCTTGGTTTTAAGACTGAACATTTCTCTACTATTTTTGCTATACAATTCTGACAATAAAGGTGTGAAAGGAGCAGAGGTTGAATCGAGGTCCTCAACATTGGAGACCCGTAGACTAACAGAATGAGATAAAAGTAATTCATGAGAATTTTACAAATCCTGAATGTGGAAAAACTGTTAAAAAATATATGGGCTAGTTGAATTAGCATAATAAAATACTCTGCTCTTAAGGCGAACATTTCCGCTGCTACTTCTGCTTTATAATCTGACTAGCTGATGCTCGCCCGCTTTTCTGGGCACACTGCCTATTTGAATGCGAACCTAGACTTCTTATATGGACGAAATGTCTAATTTCGAATTGATAATTAATGTAATTTTTTTACTATTAAGTATCGATTTCTTCGCATTTACGCCATATACAATTCAACAGTAAAATTGCAAAAATTCTAAAAGCAACATAGCAGTATATGTTTAGAATTTCTGATGCTGCGTTAAGATTTGGTATACATTTTTTCTTTCCCCCCCCCAATCTTTTCTCAGTTCATCATATCAATGTTCAGTTTTGTTACTAAGCTG